GGCCGCGGCCTCGCCGCGTGTCGCGGCGGCCCCGCCGGACGCGCTGGGCCCGGCCGGGCCGGCCGGGAGCCCGGGAAGCGCTTTCCCCGGCACCCGGAGCGGGGCAGAGCCCCCAGAGCCAAGACCCGGTCGGCTCGTGGTCGGTAACGTGTCTCCTGAGCGGCGGCGGCCGGCGGGGAGCTGTTGCCTTGTGTCAGCCACCGCCCCCGTCAGTAACTAGAACGTGCACTTGAAGCTTTAACTGTGCTGCGCCCTCTTCTCTGTTCCGTGTCGCTTGGATCCACGAGCGTGTGTTTTCATTTGCTCTGTGCCTTGTCAGAAGGAGAAGAAGGAGAAGAAATCTAAACGCCGGGACAAGTTTCAGAGGGGAAAGACTCAGACAGATGACAGCGAGGAATCGGATGAGGAGCGTTATGCCCCGAAACCCAAGAAATCAAAGAGTGTCAGTAAACAGAACGGTCACACGAAAGAGGAGAGCGTGGAGAAATCGAGAATGTCCTCCTTGAGCAGCAAATCCTCCCGCAGAAGCCGACAGAGTAGTTCCAGTGAAACGTCAAGTGAGAGCGAGAGTGAGAGCGAGCAGGATCAGGTAAAGCTAATGACCGGTTTTAGTTATTTCAGGGTGGTATGGCTTTTAACTCCTGCATTGTAACACGGCCACATTTAGAAGGGCTTGTGTTCCGTTCCCTCCCCACCTTCCTAGTCAGTCGAAGGTGCTGGGAGGTGTCAAGATTTGAAGTCCTTGAATTGTTCAGTCTGCCAGGAATTTGTAAGAATTTTGAATTATGACAGTGCTGAGGTGTTGGATCAGTGCATCATGGTTTCCTCACTTCAGCACCTGGTGCTGGGGTAGCTGTTGCTGGACAGACAGATTGCACTGAGATGGAGCTTGAATGTGATTCAGCATCATGAGGTGTATGTGATTTTTGGGGCTGTCCTGTACAGAGCCAGGAGTTGGACTTGGTGATCCTTGTGGGTCCCTTCCAACTCAGGATGTTCTAGTTCATTGTTTTCAGTTTGGGTTTGAGTGTTTTGCATTTACTGTGCTGTTAGGTATGAAACAGCCTTGACCTCCAGATCACTTTTGCTAACTTTGTCCAAGTTTGAAATATGGTGTTAAAACAAAGAAGGCTCTTTAGCTGTGACACTGTCACTGGAGAGTATGACGCCAGTGCCTGTGCTGAATTGACTTGAATTTACTGACAGACTTGAATTTACCTTGAATTTACTGTCAGTCATGTAATATTCACGTGAAATCTTACCTGAGTTTTTGTTTACCTAACAGGAATTGACTGGAGAACAGAAGGAGGGTGCTTTCTCCAATTTTTCTATTTCCAAAGAAACTGTCCAGCTTCTTCAAGGTAAGTTTTTTGGCAAGGTGTGACCGTAGAATGTCAGTGATCTCTGTTGTGTTTTTATGCTCAAACACCCTGGATCAATAAGCTCTGAGATGTGCTCTGCTCGTGCCCCTACAAGCATGGATGCTGTGCAGAAGACATTGATTGCCTGCTCTAAATACACCTTTCAACACACACTTTGCAGTGGTGTCCAGTTCAGCCTTTGCAATAAATTTCTAAATGACATGAGCCAAGGAATAAAAATAATGTGTGAGAATTTTTCAATTAAAGGTTATTTTGGTGTGAATAGAGGAAAACCAATTATATTTAGTATCTTTGGTGTTTTTTCATACATGAATTAGTATGAATTAAGAACAGAGGGGGTTTTGAGATGTGAATTATGTGAAAGAAAGAGATTTTAATGGATAGATGAGGAGTATTGCATAAATAAAGGCACAGTGCTGACAGTCTTTCATAAAGGCTGATAACTTCCTCTGTCCTAGCCAGCACTGTGTCTGGTGGTGTGAAGTGGAGAATAAAATGAACAGTCCCAGGGCACTCTTTGCAGATGACTCATCTGATCAAATAAATCAGTGGAGGTGATGATACAGTCCTGACTTACTTGATGGAAGTTCTTCTTGCAATAATTCCACTGAAGAGTGTGAAAGAACACTTGTAAAATGACCATATTAAGGAAATCTCTTGAACTTGTCACAGCTCGAGGAGTGACGTACCTGTTCCCTGTGCAAGTGAAGACCTTCAACCCAGTGTATTCTGGCAAGGATGTCATTGCTCAGGCACGAACTGGAACAGGCAAAACATTCTCTTTTGCTATTCCCTTAATTGAGAAACTTCAGGGAGACTCACAGGAAAGAAGAAGAGGCCGTCCACCAAAGGTAACTGCCTGGCTAGGATGGTATTTTGCTTTGTCTTACGTGTAAAGGATTCAGGTTTTTTCAGCTGCTGGACCAGCTCTTCAGGTCTGTGCAGGGGTAAGCTAACCCACATTAAAGGTGATTTGAAAGCTGTGTCCACTGCATCCTGTGCTGCCTGCCAGCCTCTGATGAGGAGCAAGGAACACAGCAGCTCTGTCCACTTGTCAGTTCCTTTTTCTGCCACAGGGAGACCAAAACTACAGGTGGTCAATGTGTTCCTGTCTAATTTTGCTCAGTCACGTTACCAGTTCAGGCCTAGTGGCTCCTGGATGCTTCTTTTTCTCCTGAACTGCTGACAGATTAGTTACTAATTCTAACTTGACAGCTTGTTAAAAGCTGTCTACTCAAACATGTTTCTTTCTAAAACGTCTAAACAGTGGGAGGTTTTAAAAATAGACTTCATTTTCACTAGAAACACCACCAAATGTTGAAGCTTCTGCTCCAGAGAATGCAGATTTGTTATGAGTTGTGTTCATTCTGCTAAGGAGTACCACGAGTGGTTTTTTACTGAGTTCTTATGATGCCTCAAAAAAACCTAGAGAGGCCAAGGCTGAGTGTGTCCTCATTAATAATTTTTGTCAGTTTGTTTCATCTTGTCAGTCATCTCACAGGTTATCTAAAGTGCCTTCCAAAAGTAGCACTAGCAGTTCTGTGTGCATCTGCCCATCACATTGCTTGGCTGACTGAGAATGCTGTCTCTACATTTGGCACAGTCTTTTGGAGAAGGAAGGGCTTTCTTCAAGGGAGATATAACCCTTGCAAAAGATTCCAGTCCTCACTGCCATAATGCACTGCTGCCTGCTTTTTGGTGGTGGGTTTTGGTGTTGGAGGAGGTGCTGGGATAAGGATGTTAAGGTTCCTTTGTGAAGTGAGTGGTCCCAGGCTGGAGAGCAGTGCTTCAGTCTTGTTTTAAACAGCAGCTCTGCAGACTAACATGTTACCCTGAGCCACAGGGAAGCTGAGAGACAGCTGACAGCTCTTCCTTGCACCTTCTCACAAACTGAGAGACAGAAACCTTTTGTGATCCACACCCTTCAGTCTTGCATTCGATCAGTGTGTGCACATGTAGAAGAAAACTTGTAGCTAGTCTGTTCAGGAGCTAAAGTTAAATAAGATTTAAGTCTCTCCTATCCTGTTTAAAAAGAAGTTATTAGCCTGTCCTAAATGAGTATATGTTAAAGGAGTTTAATGATGTTACAAGAGACTTGAGCAGTGTGTTTCTCCAGCCTTTGCTTAGGTAATTATTTTAAACAGATTTTTAAAAAAAATTTTATAAAGGGTCAGATCTAAATTAATAATCAGAAGTCTAGTGGTTTCTTGGCAGAAGCCATGCTGAGAAAACATCTGTTTTGTCTTTTTTCTGTGCAGGTTCTAGTTCTTTGTCCAACAAGAGAGCTGGCAAATCAGGTTGCCAAAGATTTCAAGGATATCACAAGGAAGCTGACAGTAGCTTGTTTTTATGGAGGAACTCCCTATAATGGACAAAGTAAGTGACTCTTAGGACTAATAATTTAAATATTGATTGACTTCTGTATTTAAGAAGTGCTGTTGGGTTTTCCCAGCTCAAGAGATGCAGACTGTTAATGGGAAATTCAGCAGTTCAAAATGTATCTTATGGAGATAAATAGCTGTGGTTCTCACTTATGTTCTTGCTATTACTTATCTTATAATTTACCTTAAATTAAAGTGAAACAGAGTATGCTGTGTGTATAACCTGTATCTGGGTTTTTAGGTTCTTGTAAATCCATTTTCATTTAAAAAGTTTAGTCTTAGAGCTGTGACTGGGTATGTGTTTTTTCGTGTGATTGGGGATATGTAGAGGATTTGTAAAGTGGAGAAGAAATTGTTATGACAGCATAATTTGCTGCCTTGGTGATTATAAACAAGGAATGAGAGTGAGCTCTTTAATTGTGATACATCTTGAGACATTAGGGATGATTTTTTTCCCAGAACCTCAGGAAGGAGCTAATGTCAGTCATTTGGATAGTTAAATAAACATTTTTTTTAAAAAGTTTCCAGTTAAAGTAGATAATTTGGGAAGAACTGACTATTTCTAAAGAATATTGAAAGAAGCTCACCCTTGCTACTTTGAGGCACAGGGAGAGAGAGGGAAGGTTGGTAAGTTGTTTTTTTTTCCCCTTCAGGAAGAGCAGTAGATTTTCTGCCTTACATTTTTTCCAGATTTTCTCTTCCAGTTCATAATTTGTTCTCACTTTTGTAAGGAGAGTACTTCTGAATGATTTAAGAAGCTGTTTAGTTAACACCATGTGTTACTGCTGCAGAGTGCTCCCTAGCTCACTACTGACTCCTGTCTTCCAGTTGACCTCATGAGAAGTGGCATTGACATTTTGGTTGGGACTCCTGGTCGAATCAAAGACCACCTGCAGAATGGCAAGCTGGACCTTACCAAGGTCAAACACGTTGTACTGGATGAAGTTGACCAGATGCTGGACATGGGATTTGCTGAGCAAGTGGAAGACATTTTACGAGTTGCATACAAGAAAGGTAATCTCAATAGTGAAACAAATAGTAAGAAATATTAGTAATAATTTAGTTGGTGAAAATTCAAGTATAAGGTGATTTTGTTTAGAAATTATTGAATATTATGTATTGTGAATATTGGGATTCATTCACAGAACGTGTGCAGAGCTTGAACTCCAGTACCTAGGGGGTCTGTAAATAAATGTCTTTGGCAGTTATCTTTAAGTTGTGCTTGGACTTCTTCAAATTAAAATGAGTTAGTTTTTTACCCTTTTCACTGCTTGAAAACAGACTGGAGTAACTTTTTCATAATCTTGAACTTATTTAGACTTTATAGAATATTTCTTACTCTAGGTGTCAGTAATGCATAAATTTAAAAAGCTTGATTGAATTCTTTACATTAGGTACTGATATTTATCCTCACTTTTAATCACCCATATAATCGACTTGTGTACATCTGTGAGATGAAATGTATGAGGTTTGTGAAGCATTGTTCTCTTTTCTTGTTAAGATTCTGAAGACAATCCCCAGACCCTGCTGTTCTCTGCAACTTGCCCGCACTGGGTGTATGATGTGGCTAAGAAATACATGAAGTCTAGATATGAACAGATTGACCTTATTGGGAAAAGAACTCAGAAGGCTGCTACAACAGTAGAAGTGAGTAATCTCATGTGAAACGTTTTCAGGCTTTTCCCCTTTTCCTTTATGCTACAAAAGTCACCTCTTCCTAAGGTGCATTATCACAGTGATGTTGGAAGTTGTTGTGAGAATTTTTTCCAAGCATAAGGCATGTTACAGCTGTTCAAGTTGGTTTTGGGTTTAGGATCTATTTTACATCACAGGTGGAGAAATTTCCTTGTCAGTTTTGTGGGTTTTCAGAGAAATCCAGGTTGTAAGCAAAAGGCACACATTAACATCAGCCTGCTCCTTTTAATTCTCCACAGACATCCCAGCTGGATTCTGGTGTTCTGTATACAAGATACTTTTTTTCAAACTTCCTGTAGTATCTCACCTCAGTAGCCCTTTGCTTGCTGTGCAGTAAATACCATAGCAAGGCATATAATACTTATATATTAGAGGCCTTATTTTCTTTTACTGTAATTATTTTGTTGAACATTAGACTAATTGTGGTGGGCATAAATGAGAGCCTTAGGGATTTTGGATGGTCCAGGATCATGAGTTAGCACATTTTCCCCATCAGGGAGCTGTATAACTCTCTACTGTTTTTGTATTTAACAGTTCCAAATGGATTTTAAAAGAATCTTAACTTTACATAAGCTAATCACTGGAATTTTTTTTTGTAGCATTTGGCAATAGAGTGTCACTGGTCTCAGAGAGCTGCAGTTATTGGAGATGTCATTCAGGTCTACAGTGGCAGCCATGGGAGGACCATTGTCTTCTGTGAGACTAAAAAGGAGGCAAATGAACTGGCTCTGAATGCTTCAATCAAACAGGTATTTTATCACGTGTGTTAAGTAACAAAACCTGTCAGAGATGTACCAGCTCCATGTTGATACCAGACCTCTGCTGAGTAAGTTTTAAAGAGAGAGTTTCAAAGTGCTAGGGCAGGCTTTTGTGTGTGGTCAGGTAGGATTTCACTCTTTCTCGTGGACATGGAACAAAAATTGTAGATTACTGTTTTGACACAGCCAAGCATTGCATAGATGGTGTGGATGGCAAGTTAGGGCAGGGTTTTCATATATCACAGTAATTAGATATGAGCTGAGACACACATTGCAGTTCTGTTTTCCTGCCCTTGTTAAAGGCCTTTGAGGTATATGAATAAGAATTATGAGTACATATTTTTAGACACCTAAAATAATAAACTCGGTAATTCAGTTCTTCTTTATCTTGCCACTCAATACCTATCAAATACCAAGATTTTGTACCCAAAACTGACCACAGAATGGAGCACTGTCTTGGATTTTGGTATGGTTCTGAAATAATACTGTTTTTCAGGATTGCCAGTCGTTGCATGGTGACATTCCTCAGAAGCAGAGAGAGATCACACTGAAGGGTTTTAGGAACGGTTCATTTAAAGTTCTGGTTGCAACCAATGTAGCTGCCCGTGGTTTAGATATCCCAGAAGTTGACCTGGTTGTACAAAGCTCACCACCAAAGGTAGGAGACTGTTATGTTGGGTGCCTTGTAATAATCTGTAGTTTTGTTTTCAAGTAGTGTAATGCTGTCAGCTGATGGTATTGACCACACCGAGTTCATTGTGCTTAAGGGAGAGAAACATCCAGATATGTAGAAGTAGTTTCTTAGAGGATTTTTGGGGAGTAAAAAATAGTATGTTTAAAGATTATTTCCTTAAAATGTCTTAGGAGGCTATTCAAAGCCTTCCCTTGGAAGCTGGGTATGGTGATTGCAAGGCTGGGAGCAGTGGGAGGAGTGATTCTCTTTAATGGGGGTGAATGTGAGGTGTGGACCACAAGGGTGAGAACATTGGCTGAAATGAAAAGGGTTTAACGGAAACAATGCAATGTTCCAGTGAATAAGCTATTAATACTGCAGTAACCATGCTCCCATGGATGTGCAGGAGGAGAACAGGATTGTTGTAGAGGTGCACACACTCCAAATGTGTGGTGGTGCATAAAGAAGAGTTGATTCATGCTCATGGCTCTGGTTTTCAAGCCATGATTTCTAGATGATTATGGAAAAGCATATTTGGTCAATACTAGTGAAACAATGTTTTCTAATTTAATTCTGTGATGCAGTTACTGTGCATTGTTCGGTCTTAACTGTACTGGCTTCTACAAGTGGTGTGGATGCAATGAATTGATGAAATGACAATGAGTTAGGTGACTCATAGGCCCTCTGTTTCTGAAGGATGTGGAGTCCTACATCCATCGCTCTGGGCGCACGGGCCGAGCTGGGCGGACTGGGATCTGCATCTGTTTCTATCAGAGAAAGGAGGAATACCAGCTGAGACACGTGGAACAAAAAGCGGTACAGTACAGCGTTCTTACTGCCAGAATCTCAGTGGTTCAGTTGCAGAATGCAGTTTATAAAGCAGCCAGAGGAGGTTTGGGTACCTTGAGGAGGGTGGCTGCAGGGTCAGTTAGTGTGGAGCACTGCAGGTTCTAACACCCATTCCTTTTCAGCAAATGCCAGTAAGGTTGTCCTTGTGGAAACGACAAAAAACTCGCAGTATTTCCATGTGGTGTTCACCCTGCTTATCATCTGATAAGTGATGTGCATATGTGCAGCTTTCCTGAGAACTGTTGCTTGCATTTTTGCACTTTGTGCAGTGTTCCATATGCTATGGAACATTATATGCTATATGTGTTCCTCAACAATTAAGTATGTCGTTGTGATGAGATGGTTTATTCCTGGCACGTAAAGCAGTGTTACATTTAGACTAAGGCTCTGTAATTTGTACTTAAATCCAAATCTATCAGACTAAAAGTAGTAATTCAGAATTTGTAGGACTCTGTTTTCTCCAGAAATGTACCAAAATATCTAAGTCTAAGGTCACTGAATCATTTAACCCAATCTGGTACATAAAAGCCTTCTAATTGTTACTGTTTTCCTGTAAGTTTAACCTTACCATTTTCACTAGGAAAAATTGGAAATTAAAAGGTGAAAATAAGAAGAACAACTACAGAGTTAAATGCTTGTTGTGTTGGAGTTCAGTACTGCTTCTTTAGAACTGAATTAATTATGGTCTGCAATTTTTATTTGTCTTTTGCCTTTTAAATTTCAGGGCATTACATTCAAGCGCGTTGGTGTTCCTACTGCAACAGACATAATAAAGGCTTCCAGCAAAGATGCCATGAGGTGTGTCTGGGGACTCAGGCCCTGTTGTATCTTTCTTCCTTCCCAGTTCAGAAGGAACTTTACTGTCTTTTTGAACTTTTTACAGTTCCTTTACTGTCTCTTTGAACTTTCTGAGCACTGTTGATATCATGGACTACTGTGATTTTTTTTCTATTCCAGAGTCTACTGATGTATAAATTGTTGATATGTTTTGCTTTAACTACTTAGGTGCCTGGATTCTGTTCCTCAGACTGCTATTGAGTATTTCAGAGAATCTGCTCAGTTGCTAATAAAAGAAAAGGGACCAGTTAATGCTCTGGCTGCAGCTCTGGCCCATATTTCGGGTGCTACTTCCATTGAACAGCGCTCACTGCTGAACTCGGATGTGGTAAGGAAGGGGTGTGGCTTAATGCTTGTCTTGAAACTGGAAAGAAACAACACACCTCTGTGTTGTGTGAACAGAGAATTATTTATCTCCTGACCATTTTGTTTAAGAACTATACTCAAGCCAGTAGGAACTACTTATTTTGCTAAAAGCAACGATGTAGTGGCTGTAAGGATACTTGATGCCCTGTAACAGGACCTACTTGAAGATTCAGTTACTAAACTGTAAATTGGCAGGTTTCTCCTGTCTGATACATGTGCTGAAGCTTATTCCTCTGCCTGAGTGGAACATGCCCCGTTTCTTGTTTCTTTCTAGGGATTTGTTACAATGATACTACGATGCTCTGAGGAAATAAGCAACATGAGCTATGCCATGCGAAGGCTGCGAGAAGTGTTGGGTGATGATATTGATCGGAAGGTGAACAGGATGTGTTTCCTCAAGGGAAAAATGGTAAGTTTTTGTTTTGTTTATTTGATGGGGGCTCTTCTGAATGCAGCCTTTTCTTACCAATTGTCAGGGGAGCTATTTGGTCTTTTTCTCTATTCCAGGCACTGTTGGTGATGGGCCTCAATCTGGTTTTTTTAGTGCTTAGGGCTTTGCTGATATGCTCAGGAGGTAGGATAATGCATGGCTATGGGGATAGCAGAACAGGTAAAAGGTGTGAAGAGTATTAACTCTGCCTTGAGGACAAGACAGAAAGGTGTTTCTTAGGACAATCAATTCCACCTGTCAGGTGGAGATTTGTGGGCTCTGTTGTTTTCAGTTGCAGTCACTTAAAACGTTTACCTTGTATGCATTAAAATGATTCTTTCTCTTTAGGGTGTTTGCTTTGACGTTCCTGTGGCACACCAAAAAGATATAGAGGTATGTTCATTGCAAGTTCTGGGTGCAGTCGGCTGAAGGTGAGACTGGCTGGACTGGGTTAGACTGAAAACATTATGTAGCCTTTCTCCTGCCTTTCTTGGTGGCAAAAGGGATGGCTTGGAAGGAATTGAAGAACAGAACAAGCTCACAGCGTTTCTTTTCTAAGGCATTCCCCTGAGGCCAAAAGTCTGTAACTTGGAACTTTTGCACTGAGAAAAGTGGTGCTGGATTCATCTTTCTGTGCAGCAAGATTTAATCCCCTTTTCTCTGTTCCCTGCCTCCTGTTTTCACCCAGAATTCTCTCCACAGTAAAGTGAATTCAGATTTTTGCTTGGTAGCCATTAGGATTACCATGCCAGAATTATTGATTCCCTCAGTTAGAAGCTTGAATCCTGTACATCAGCTCACAATTTTACCTTTTCAGTTGAGCAGATTTAATAATTATTATATACCCTGCATTTGTATTCCTAGAACTTAACTTGCTGTGTCTGGCTTCATTCCGATAGGCGAGGTGGGAAGATTCCAAACACTGGCGTTTGTGTGTGGCCACTGAGTTACCAGAGTTGGTCGAGTCCATACGAGGAGGAGGAGGAGGAGGAGGCAGTGGTGGAGGGAATGGCCGCAGCTTCTCGAGCTCCCGGAACGGTCGGCGTGGTGGCTCTGGTAGAAACAGGTTCAGGAGCAGAGGGCAGAAACGAAGCTTCAGCAGAGCGTTTGAACATTAACTTCGACAATCCAGAAGTGAGGAAAAAATGGGACTGAAGTATTTTATATTACATTACACTAGGCTGTTTCTGTGTGTTTGTACCATTGGGGAAAATACTTCATTAAGATATTTTTTTTTGTCAGTACTACTTTGCTCATAAACAAGGTTCTGTTCATTTAAAAAAGTACAAAGGAAAAAAACCCCAAAAAACCTGCAAGAAAAAAAATGTTTCTTTTGTTTCTCATATTGCTCTTTGAATCTTTCCATAATATGTCTGTTGCGTTCAAAACTGTAGCCTGGTTCACTGTATAATACATAGATCTGAATTGCTGCTCAAACCTGTACATTTTCTGATAAAATTAAATATTATTTTACAACTTCACATTTTGTTGTCACGTATTTGAAGCAGTATTTTGCAGGTGGAGATGTGGGAAGGTGCCAGAGTGGGGAGTGTGACACTAGGAGCCCCTGAAAGAAAAATAAATCCATTTGGTTTTTGTTTTGTGGATTTGTAATGAAGCTCTTCTTTCCCTAAAACATAGTAGTTTTTAGTTTCTGTCCAAAATTGTCACTTTGTATAAAAGGGGGGTAGGAAAGGCAGTTTCAAAAGCATGAGGGGAAGCCCCCTGAGGGGCAGCAACTCTGAGGAGACCCATAAACCCGTGAGGGTGTTGTAAAATGTGGAATATGTCAAGATTATCACGTAGGTAAGGATGTTCTTCAGTGTAAGATGTTTGTATGTTTTCAAATCTAACCAGCGGAATGAATAGCAGCAGCCCTTACTCAAGGACATCCTGGAGTTAACAAGCTGTAAGTATAAAGCAAATCAGTATGTTGAAGTATATCTATGTATACATTATTGGGTTGGCAAAATACTCAAGGTCTATGTATCCTATGGGTGAACTATGTTTTAGTATTGTAACTAAAAATCAGGCTATGGGTCAGGAAGGCGCCTACCTAGGGGGTCAAGTCCCTTTTCACGAGGGTGTGGAGACGTTATCTGGGATTACTTAACTTGTATGGAAAGCACTAACCAATCACTATGGGGGGGCTGTGCTGGGCGCGTTCCTAACGCTGAATTTCTGAGTATGAATGATGGTGGTGCCACACGTGTGCAACGCCACCGAGCAACGCCTTGCGCAGCTCCGAAATCAAGGTCTCGAGTGTGTGTCATTATCGGCTTGTTGCACACCGGGGAACGAGCCTGGTTTGGTGGGCAACCGGGAGAGCCCCGTGAGGGGAGCGGTCCGTGAGGTGAGCTCCGTGAGGGGAGCCCCGTGAGGGGAGCGGTCCGTGAGGGCAGCCCCGAGGAGCGGTCCGTGAGGGGAGCCCTGTGAGGGCAGCCCCGGGGAGCGGTCCGTGAGGGGTGCGGTCCGTGAGGGCAGCCCTGTGAGGGCAGCCCCGAGGAGCGGTCCGTGAGGGGAGCCCCGGGGAGCTCACGGTGGCGGCGGAGCTGACGGAAGGCGCGGGGCGGCGCGGCGGAAGGGGCGGTGCGGGCGCGGCGGCCGCATGGGGGCCGTGTGGGGTCGTGCGGTGCGGCTCGGGCTCCCCGCGGCGCGG